CATGTATAGGTTAAGGGAATCTATCAAAACTTAGGCTCTTGCAAACTTCATCGTTGAATGTACCTTCAATAGTAGTAGTGTGGTGCAATCATAAGAACTCTAACATACTTGAATCTTGCTTTTAGATGGGTTCTCTAATCTTAAGAGGAGTGGAGTAGGCCTCATCCATTCAAGCTTGGATAACATGACATTAGATAATTCACTTTGGTTCAGCTTCCGAACCTCTAATAACAAAGTTAAATACAAGGATCTTCTGGCTGGCCTCTCTTTGGCCAAGGAGTTAGGGGTAGATCATGTCAAAGCTTTTAGTGACTCGTAGTTAGTTGTCAATAAAGTAAATGGAGAATACGAGATAAGAATGCCAACAATGTCTAAGTATCATTAAAAGGTCTGAGAACTGACTTCACTATTCTAGCACTTCACTCTGTAATGGATTCCATAGTTAGAGAATGCTCGGGTTGATGCCTTATCGAAGCTAGTGAGCTTAATAGAATTAAAACATGGAAGGCTAGTGTTTGTAGAAGAGTTGTCCTATCCTAGCATTGAAGCATTAGATAAAGTAGTATGCCTGGTTTGGACATACTTGAGAATAAAGTTAAAGCTTAGAGAGCTAGCTATATGTTGATCGGCTTGGTACACACTCATTAATGATAAGTTGTATAGAAGGTCATTCAACCCACCTTACCTAAGATGTTTGAGATTGGAAGGAGACTATGTCCTTAGAGAAATACATGAAGGTGATAGAGGCATGCTAACATACCACATTAATCTGTGACTTTTGTGTTATGCTTAGCATTCAATTCGATCGAAAATTGGTATATTTTATTTATTTTTTTAATAATTTATTAATCTTTAATGAAAACACATCAGATCAAATCAGATCTGAAGATCCGAAGGTCTGATAGGATTCGAATTTAGATCGCGAGTCCCTATTAGGTCCAATCGGATCATATCTGACATGAGCAGTGCTGGACCAAATTCAAATATACCCTGATTCAAGCTGACCCCGAGGGCCAACTCCTATATTCAAGCAGAGAAAAAGGAACCTAGAGCCAATCTGGGCCTAGTAGAAGAAGTCCAAGAATTGGGCCAAATCAGAGTTGCGACCTACTAACAGGTAGTAGAGGGTTGCTCAGTATTACAACTCTTAGATCTGAGGATGAAAATTTTGGGAAGGTGACCTTGTCCTTTGATAGGTCATTATCCTTAAGTCTAATTAGGGAAAACTTGCACCCATTTGGGAGGGACCATATAGGGTACTAAAGGCACTAGGGCTTGGGACATATCAACTTGAACACCTTGATGGGAAGCCCATATCTTGTATTTGGAACTTTTATTAATAAAAAGTTCCTATTTTCTCTCTTGTATGTGGTCATAGTTTCCATGAACATGACATTGAACTCTTAGAGCCCTGACCTAAGTTGGGTGTGGCTAAGGCCTGAGTTATACAACCTCATTATGCTATTCGTCCAATAGGTCTTCTCAACTGGATGAAGATCATCAACACACCACTGATTGTTTCCTCTAAGCCATTGGCTCTTATAACTAATGGACTTCTATTTGCTTTGAGAATGTTTCCCTAGATTTGACGAGATGTTTGATGTGATAAGACCTAAATGGTATTGTTCAGCTAGGGACCCAAAGCCCCTATGTATCACTAAGCTATGCACCTCGTAGCCTAAGCTTAGTACTAACTGGAAAATGGGATAAAAGTTGAAAATTAGGTTAAATAAAATAATTTTTCATTACTTGAAGTTCCATTACATCAATGGGTGGAACTTTGGCCCCTACGAATAAATAGAAGAAAAAGGAAACTGCAAGTATCAATAGGGCCATTGCCCCAAAAGGCATTCTATAAAATCTCTAAAGGTGCATAGGTCCCAACAACAGAAAAACAAGAAGAAAAAGGCAATTAAGTATAGGAGTCTTCCGCCCTCTCTTTGCCATTGTTAGCCACAACAACATCCCTTGTAGAGCTGCTCTCACCTTCACCTCAAGCCTCAGATGTCCTAGCACCACCACCCTTGATCTCAACATTGGCAAAAGGGTTAAACTTGCTCATGTCGAACTCAAGGAGGATGGCCAGTATGTGCTCCTGACAAACTTAGTTCCCTTCAAGGTATAATTTGCCACTATAGTTAGCTAGGTCTTGCTTGTAGTGATTGGAGGTCTAGTACTCTGCTGCCCCAATGGCCTTGGCCTTAGCCAACTCTTCATTATCCTACTCAACATATGCTCTAATGGTCTCTATTCTAGACTTAGTGTTAACAAGCTTCAGCTCGGCCACCACCATTCCTTTCTCTTAAGTTTTGAGCATGGTCTTTAGGAGCCATACCTCCTCGTGTACCTTTTTTAGTGATGGGAATTCTCTTTTTGTTGCTCTGCCCTGAAGGCCACCACCATTCCTTTCACCCACTCTGTCATGACACAGAGGAATATCAACTCTTTTACTCATGGATAAAAGATAGAGAGAGAGCCATCTAGGATCTTCTTCCCGGACCAAGCCATGAAATACTACCACCCTTTGGTGAATGAGTGGGATCTAAGATAGAGTATCACCTTAAAAAGATTAAGGTTCCCAACCAGTGGACACCCTACTGGTAGGCCACAGAAATGATCCCAACCATGAGTTGAAGACCTTGAGAATCAAAGGATGGAAAGGTAGCCTTAGCCTGACCTAAAGCTAATGCTCAAAGACACATCTTCACCTTGTTACCCGTCCATGGCTTCTTCTTCGCCAGTTGGAGAACTATCTCTCTTCTATAGGCCTAAGAATACACTCCAAATTATTAGTGTAGCCCATGGACTGATAGACATATCGAATTGAACTGAGACATCCAGAATCTACTCCCCTTATTTAAATCTTAAATCTAACCCGATCGAATTTGGATCTTGTCAGATTGGTGGGTGCATTTTTTCTTGAAATAATGTCCAAATCAGATGGTCAACGGTCTTCTGATTAAGTGGACTTTTTTTGGAATCTATCCATTGGTGCCTCCCCATTTTTAAAACACAAAATAGGTGGCAAGTTATGGTCTCCAGATAATCAACCAATGTATGAGAAACTGGTAAATGATGCTCTGCCTGTCTGCCTAATTTATGTTCAGGAGATTGAAGTTATACTGCTTACAAGTCATTGGTTCAAAAATCAGTTACCATGGGCTATTCCAAGGAGTAGTTGATTTTATCATCTCGTCATTGGGGATTTTTCCTTTTGGCTATGGTTGTTTGTGCAGTGCAATTTTATTTGCATTAGTACAAACGTATAGGGTGCAAATGAAAATAATGCAACTTTTGGTTTAATTTTATTTTGGGTTTTACCATATTTTATTTCAGGTCTTATTTTACTTCATTTTTACTGCAATTACATAAAATAAGGTAAATTTTGAAACAAAAATACGTCATAATTTGCACCAAAATCATTTGCATTACCATGATTTTGTATCAGTGCAAATAAATTTGCATTGCAACAAAATACAACCAAATCTGCATTCTTATTGGGACTGTCAGATTTTTTTTAGGGAGAATGACGGTTCAGCACAGGATCAGAATTTTTAGGCCCAAAGTACAGTTGGGGTAGGTGTCAGTTCGGAATTGATGTCAATTCACGGGCGGACATTGATATATAAAATGGGGGTATTTGACATTTTGAATGTTTATAGGTATGCAGTGGAATTCAGAAATCTGCATTGAGCCTGCCCGTACTTTTCCGTTTTTTTATGAGGTTTTACGCCTTTACCCTAGTTGAAGTCTCCTTCTTTCCTTGGAAATGTTCATACATTAGTGCAATATGCTTGCAGCATTAGTAATTGCTTTACGTGATCTGAAGTCCTTTCTTTCTTTTTTTGCTTCAGATCTGAAGTCCTTTCTTAACACCCATTGTTTCCAAGGACCGTGTCTACCGAGACTATTGATTAATGGAATTGCTTTTTTTTTTTTTTTTTTTGCTTAAAGAATGAAACAAGAAAAAAACACACTGATGTATATGCCCTCTATTTATATCCATTTAGACCTTTGGTTTAGTTTTACTGATGTATATTCTATTTGACTTTTCCCACAACATCTCCATGACTATCTTTATTTCTTTCACTACATTTCTAAGTGTTCACAAGCATATCCCTGTATGTCTCTTAAACTTGTATTCATCAAATTCTTTGCCATACTAGAACCAAGCAAGTAAACATATTTTACATGGCCATACTTGAGAAAATTTTGAATCTCTCTCTCTCTTTCCCCCTCTCTCAAAAAAGAAAGAATTTTATAACTATTAGGCAAATAATGATAATGACATGCATGGCAAGAAGGATTTATGTGGAAACATCAAGAGTTTCCAATTCCAAATATGTTAGGCAAGGAACCCATACCCAGTCCAACCCCATTTACAATATCACCAGATCCACTGGCCTATGAGCTGCTAGTTGTGAAACAAGTACCCAGATGTGCTGTGGGACGTTGTGGGCGGCAATCTTGTGGGGGGATGATCCGAATTCGATGTACCTAGCCTTATTAAGCCCCATTTTAAATAATTGACATGGTAAAGTCAAGTGATTCTCTAACCATATATTGCCCATATTAGAATTGTGACTCAACACTTGAATGGGTATTGTATTAAAGTTTTAGAATGGGCATTGATGTATTGAAATTCACATTTATAGACAACTAGAATTGGAAGTAAGCTCTGGTAGCCATCCCTTTCATGATATAAACCAGATAGAGACATAGAGACGAGCTGAGCCTTATATAGAAGTAGGAGTAATGTGAGTACTCTGACATATTTTAAGAATATAAATTAAAATACAGAAGAGGCCTTAGAAAAGACACATAACAAAGATAGTCCATGCAATAACTACATAGATATCCTACTACTAATGGAAGATAACAGCATTCAGTACTCAAAAATTCTTAACAAGTCTTGGGGTGCTTTTAAATGGAACCAGAACAGCTTTTCTCGGACAACACATCATATGCCAAAAGCACACATATAGTACTGAACTTCCCTAATGGCTGCAGGCATGGAAGCATTAGCACTTGCATCAGAAGTCTGTCTCTCCGAGACCTCAAGCATTTCAGCGGCCGAATCTTCTCCAGAAAAATATATGAAAGACAGGAAGGACAAAGCAAAGGTTGATCAAGAAGCTGCGAAGCCAGAGCCTGATGGGGTGATGGAATCCAAAGTTTTACTTTCCCTGAAGTTTCATCATAAGGAATTGGGTGAAAGCTCTTCTCAGCCACAGATGGTTGCTTCAAAACTGCGTGTTAAGAAGTCAGGGAGGAGATCTTTCTACTGTGTCTACTGCAGGAGGACATTCGAGAGCCCACAAGCTTATGGAGGACATCAAAATGCTCACAGACGTGAAAGATCTTTAGCCAAAAGCCAAGGGTTGGCTCCATTGGATTTAAGATACCCATATGCACGTCTGCACGCATATTCAAGATTACCATCAACAATTGTTTGTGGGCGTTTCAGTAGATCTTCTGGACTTGGGCTACAACCAGCAGTGATTCATAAACAGTATCACCCATGGTCTCTTCCAGGACGAAGTTATTTTAATGGTGGGTGGAACAGACCAGAAATGCTGCTGATGAACAGACAACCTGAAATTGCTAGATTGAGGAGGGATGATGGGTTAATATTGCAAGGAGCAGAAGGATTTGATGGTGATGGTTTTGTTAACATGTTTAGAGGATCCCAAGCCATTGAAGCTTCAAACGCTGCAGCTAATAGGATGAACGATATTGAACGTGGTAATCTGGAAGCTCATCCACATGAAGAGAAGGAGCTTGATTTGTCTCTTAAACTCTGATAGTTGTTTTTTGTGGCTTCAATCTACTTAATTCCCTGTTTTTTCTTTGGGGTAATATTACATATTAGTGCCATTTTAGATATTCTGAATTTCAGAATTTGTTCTGGCTAGTTATTAGTTTGCTCTGTTATGGAAGCACTTTGGAATTTGGATGGTGCTTCACTATGTAATGCTTCATTTCTAATGCAATAAAAGTATTCAGTTGGAGTTAAAGTTTCTCCATATAATGCAGTTAAACAGGTACGGTTGTTATATCAAGAACAAGATGGAAACAATAGAATATTAATAAACACTAGTGGGTCATTTACTAAAATAATAGAAAGCTATAGTTATCATTTTACTAATAAGGGAAAGCTACCCTATAGTTATCATTTTACTAAAACACCACTTATAATTTACAATGGATTTAATCAATCTTCCATTATATGACAGTGGAAAATGATAATGTTGACCCTAATGTTCATTTAAATAAATTTAATAAAAATAAAATACCACATTTGCCCTTAATAAGACACATGCAACCACTCTATTGGCTATATTTGGTCAATTTTGTTTTTGTACAAAAAAAAAGTGTTAAGGGTATTTTTGGAATAAAAAATCATGGGCCTAATGGCAAAACGAACACTCCTTAATGAAAGGTTGATTAAGTAAATAAGTTGTAAAATATATGTGATGTTTTAGTAAAATGAAAACAATAAGGTAATTTTAACTAAATATGTAAAACTATAAGGCGTGCTCTAATAAATGACCCTAATAGAAACACATAAGAGTATACAATTGTTTTATATTTTCAACTTTTTAAATAATTAATAATTAATCATATTTTATATACTACTTTTAATAATTTTTTTATAAAAAAAATAACAATAATTAATTTCAGTTAGGTTTATTCATCAAACTGATGAAACCAACCAACCTGATCAACTCGACTCGAATTGGTCGGTTTTCTAGTATTTTAGGTCGGCTTTGTTTCAAAATTCTCCCAATTCGACCAATTTGGATCAGTTTCACTTTGGCCATTTGTAAACCGGCCAAAATTGAACAACCTAACCATGGAAATGATATATTATCATAAATCTAATTTTTAAATTTATTTTATAATAATTTCATTGTAATTTTTAAAATTTAATTTAATTTTTTAAGTTTAAATCTTTTGAGCCAATTGCCCAAACAAAAAAATCGACCCAAATTGATACACCTTGAGTGGGTTGGTTTTCACAAAAGGTCAGTCGATTCCAACTAACCAACTTTCCAACTTGACCAGATCAATTTGGTTGGCCAAATAGCCTAAGACCGAATCGAACCAACTCATGAACACTCATAATTTCAGCTAAATTAATAGTCTCATCTCTAATAAATAACAATAGTTTAATCTCCAATAGTTATTGAAAATTTATATAAAAAATACACAATTATTGAAAATATATTAATAACAAAAAAATACAATAATTATAAAAATACAATAAGTACTAAAAATATATTAAATTAGTCAATATTATAATCTCAAATAATAGTTTAATCTCTAATAAATATTAATCAATATGTTATAACAAAAATACAATAAATACAATAAGTACAATAAATTAAATTTCAAATTTCAATAATAGTTTTTTAATCTCTAATAATTACTGAAAGTTTTCTATTAAATAACAAAACAAAATAAATTTATACATACTGATTGAAAATACAATTATCACAAAAAACAGTAAATAATTACTAAAATACAATAAATATTAAGTTTAGTATATATAATTATATAGTAAAGACAGATTAAGAGTTTAAAATTTATTATTAATAAATATTAATTTTTTGAAAGTTATTTTCTTGAATTATTACTTGATATAAGTGAAATTAGTTATTTACAATATTATGTAAAAATATTAAATTATTAATAATTTCAATGTTATGTTATAATTATTTTTCTACTTTTCATATTTTTTTAAATTTATTACATAATTTCTTTATTTTAACTATTTAAAATCTAGTTGTGTTAAATATTTTGTTATTTAAAATATTTAGTTACTTAAATACTTAAACAATATGTAAAATATTTAAATTTTAAAATATTAATTATTTATTGAATTTAATTATGCATAAAGTCATAATTACTACTATTATTACATAATTTCATTATTAATTTTGTAATATATTAAATTATTATTAATTTCAATATTATTTTATAATTATTTTTCTACTTTGAAGAAATTTTTTAATTTTATTACATAATTTTGTTTTTTTAACTATTTAAAATCTAGTTATGATAAATATTTAGTTATTTAAATATTTAAATAATCTATAAACTATTTAAAATTTTTGTTATTTGAATTTTATTTATTTAAAGCTATTACATATTATTAAATATTTGAAAAACATTTAAATTGATAATCTAGAAAAACATAATTTAAATTGTTAGTACATAGTTTTGTGATATATTTTGTAAAATATAAAATTATTTTTGTGTTTCTAATAAATATTTTAAAGTTATTATATAATTTTGTTAGAATATTTAAATAATTTTTAATTTTTAGGAGAAGAGATTATTTATGTTATTGAGAAAGTGCATATCAGCCCACCCATGCCTTGTACTGAAACTTATAAAGGGGGTGACAAAAATCGAACACTAGACCACTTGGTCAAAATGGCTCCGATACCATCTAAGAGAACCATTCAACCTAAAAGCTTAAGATATTAAGTGAGGTCCTTGAATAGGTTTTATTCCCTACACATCAATGAATAATGGAAATTCAAACACTTTTCTAGTCACCTTTGTTTAAATACCATCATCGTTTAAATACACAACAATGTCACCCCTCCCAATCAGAAAGGTAACAATTCTCAATCAAAGAATTTTCTTAATAATAATCACAAGGGAAATTACAGGGATAGAGGGCAAGGGCACAGAAGGTTAAGGTCGAGGTCGAGGTCGTGGAAACTATAATAATTCCTAATGACCTCAAGGTCCAGAAGTTATGTGCCAATTATGAAATAAACTTAATCACATGGTTCTCACCCACAGTAGACAATTTGATCTGTTATACAATGTGGGAGCAACCTCAACTTAATCACATAGTTCTCACCCACAATTACAATTCCATCCCTCTTATTTTCTTGTTAAGGAGCATCTCTCTTCAAGGCTTTAGTAAAGGTAGTCTCTATTAGCTTCCTGCTTCTAGTGCTCCAATTTGCTCTTTTCTTAGCTTATGTTGGTGAAGAATCTTCAATTCACATTTGACATTTTAGACTAGGTCATCTAACAGCATTCATAGTTGTTTATAAAGTCATTAGGCTCAGTTTGGAAGGAGTACAAATGCAAATACGTACAGTACAAATACATATAAAATAATACAAAATATAAGGTTTTGCACTCTACATATTTGCATTTGTACTCCTTCCAAACTGAGCCTTAATGATTTCAATTTACTAGTTTATTGTCATGAGTCCTTATCTTCAAATTTTCATGATTGTCAAGTATCAAAAAGTCATAAATTATGTTGTTTGCATTTACATGTTTCTTCTCATGCACCTTTGGATTTATTTGGGATCCTTCTTCTATTGCTTCTCATAATGGATTTCAATACTATATTTTATTTTTGGATGGCTATAGTCGATTTACTTGGATTTTTCTTCTTGCAAACAAGTTTTATGCTCTTCCCACTTTGCTTTAAAAGTCATGTAGAGATTTTTTTATTTGTTCAATAATTAAGCACTTTCAATTGTTTGAAATATTGTTTCCATGTGCTCGTTTAAAGTCATTTTTATCTTTGCACAATTTCTTGATCAATGAAGTGAGACTTTTTGTTAGAGGAATCTTTTATATTGCTTGTTTGTGTTCATTGTTATCTAGTTTAGAGGTTACATTGTATAGCATTCAAGTGATGAGTGAGACTCATCATTGTAGATTTGGATGACTCACTTCCTTGTAAACCTAGAATTTTCCAACCAAGGGTGGACTTGGGCACTTCACTTTATGGTTGGCTCGTAGAAAGTTAATAGTGATATTTCAACTACAATTTCCTGATCCAATTGAGTTTGATCCATCATAGGATCCTTGGGTCACTATCACTGAATATAGTTACTCAGATGCAAAGACTTTCTTGCCCTTGGACCTAAGGAATCCTTAGTGTTACTATATCATGATCAATCACTTTGATGTACTATGGGTGAGATCACTATCCAATTGTGATTGCCATAGTCTCTATGTTGGGTAGGGATGACAATTTGCCCATCCCTGCCAAGTACTCAACCTCCCCGACTCCACCGAGCCAAGAATGGAAATTGTCTTGGTGGGGGAAGGAATGGGAAGGGGGATTAATAGGGATCCTCGATTGGGGACAAGCATATGGGATGGGAAGTGAAGTCCTCACCCCACCTGACCCCAATTATATATATTAAATATTATTTACATTAAATATATATTATGTAATAAAATTTATATTATATACAAATCAAAATACATTACGAATTATTTATAATTTAATAATTTCCTTTATTTTAAGTAAATTTATTTTCCAAACAATACTTTTAATTAAAAAAGTTTTGAGAATTCGGTTCCCATAGGAAACCCATTGGGGATGAAGGGCAACTTTCATCCTGATAAGGATTGAAGTTAGGGATGGAGAATATGGTCCCCTCCCCAAACCCGCCCCATTTCCATTTCTAATGTTGGGAGGCTAAAACTGATATTATAGTTCTAAGGATTCCAATAACGAGACTACACCCTCATATAAGGGAAAAGTGTTACAATCAAGAAATCCTAATCAAACTAGAACTGTTGGGGAGAATCCTAGTAGTAGTAGAAGTCATAGGATAGTTTTTAGGTCATAATTGATTAGGGAATTAAACCTTGATTGACCATGGTTATTATGTGCTAGTAGTTCTTTTAAAAGTGTTTCTCAACAAGTTTGACATATTCAGGAGGTTCCCTAATCAAAACAGAATTCTTGGATAAATCCTATATATATATATATATATATATATTGATGCTGCTCAATCCGAGGTGG